TCAGGCCACACCACACACATTATAGCAGTTATTAGAATGTGTCACGTTGTTCCACACCATTGTGTACACCACTGCCTTTGTCTAGAGTGCTCTGCCAATTATGTCATCTTGTCCACCATGGATTATCCTTTAAGGTCCAGCTCAGTTATCATCTCTTTGGGATCTCATTCCCAGAAACAACCCTTCTGTTGCACAAGAGAGATGCCCTGTGTCCGTGGACCAGTGGACTCTGGGCATTCTTCTGCCTTAACACTGAACATGGTACATTTTTCACATTTGTCTATTTCCTATACTGGTCATGGGCCTGGAGGACAGGGATTCTGTTCCCACTATGTGTGTCTCCCCAGTTCTTCACAGATATTCATCTCTACAGAAGAAAACATAACTTACAGTGTTTTATTATGGATAATGGTAAAGCGTCATGTGGAAAAAAGGGAGGAGAATAATTTTCCTACATTTGAAAAAAATATTCCTAATTTTTCCTGAGTTTCTTCATATTTCTATTCTGACACAAACGTTATTTTAAGGAAATGATTCTCTCCCCTAAATGATTTGGTGGTTATTCAGTTAGAGTAAAGATTGAGGTCCCACAAAATAAACAGAAGACAAATTAGTTATTTTAAAGTGTGTCGACCCACAAAGATTATTTTCTTTTTCTTCATGCCCATTTGGTAAGATGGTTCTCTGGGACTATGTAATTATGAATGAATGGCATTGAAATGCTTGAACAATAATTTGTAGGAAATACAATTATGAGAAGTTATTAGTGGGAGTAAATGAATAGTTTATTGGCTAACAGGTCAGTGTTGAAAGCCCAAAGTGGTTAAACATTGTATTAAATTACAGGTTGAGAACATAACCCTTTTTCATTTAAGTATATTCATAACTTATTGAGCTTTTTAAACTGTATTTTTATTTATTTTTTTTATTTGTAGTAGGGAAAGGAAAGCAGCTGCCCAACCTGAGTTTCTTAAGGGTTCTGTGAAATGAAATGACTTGTTTGAAATGTGTGTGTGCAAAGCTTTCCTCATCAGAGAATCAGTCAGTCCACCTTATGTGGCATTTAAATAACATTTATGAAGTAAAGAATATAAGTTTTTGAGTATTTAATATTACTGGGTAAAATTAATTTATAGATATTTCCAGAGGCCAAGAATTCCATTATATGTCCAGTTCTTTGGCTCTGGATTCAGAAGACCTAATTTCAGAATTTGGTGCTGACATCTTGTTGCTGTGTAATCTTGTCCTTGAAACATTTTAACTTCCTAATCTGTATGCACCCTTAAAAGAAAAAACAATAGCAACAGAAACGATTCTTACTAGGGAGTAAAACTATTTAGCATCGGTTGGTTTATTCTAAGTTCTTAATAAATTTTGTGTTATTTGTGGTAACTTTTACATATTAGTTATTATATACTCATTTAGGTATATATTTCATGGAGGTTTTCAAATAAAGGTCTAGAAGGCAATATTCAAAATAGTTAATGAAATCACAATGGATTTCATGCTAGTCTTGAGCCCAAGACCACGTTAGGAATTTTGACATATATAAAAGAAACATAAAGCAGTGGCCCTGCATTCGAGGTGCTAACTGTCCAGATGGGGAGATAGGACATGTGCACTGTAATTATTACAGAATAATTTAGTACTGAAACACACGTTAGTGACTACTGGTTACACCCAGATCTCCCCAGGCCTCTCTGAGACTTCTCAGCCTGTGGATATTTTAGTAGTGATCACAAAAATTTTACTGTGTACCTCCCCCAACTCTCATAGAACCTGCAGCCTTTCCAACCTTCCTGCCTGCTTATTATAGATGTTCTCATGACAAATTTCATGCAACTAGTTTGCTGCATCTTTCATGAAAGTATCTTTCATGGACATTTCTCCCTATTTTGGCTCTCTTGGCCAATGTCCTCCATTTAGGAAGATGCTGAGGGCTGCTTTATCCCAGCCCCCACTGCTGATACCTGCCATGAGAGTACTGAACACGTGGGTGCCAAGGACACAGGCTTCTGTTGCTGCCAGGTGGTCAAACCCTGAGGTATAGGAATGTGCTACATCCCATAATGAAGCCTTGTGACCTCCTCTCTCTCCCACTCAGGGCCCTACATAATCATCAGGACACCAAAATTTTGGAGTGCTTGTTTCTCCCTGACTTGGTCATGATTTCCCTCATTTGATACATATTTATTGGACACATATTATATGCACCAATGTGATAGGCATTGGTACTAGGATGGTGAACAAATATAGGTCTAACTCCTCTTGTTAGGTTTAATAGGGAGGGAAACAGAGACCTCTGTTATATAAACAGAGGTCAAATTGCAGTGTATTAAGTGCTAGAAAGGAGAGGAACAAGGTGATGTGAGGGTTTGACCTAGTTAGGAAGTCTCAGAGGCTTTGATGAGGAATCAAGTTTAACATCATTCTGAAGAATGAGGCAGAGTAAGTTGATGAGAGAATCCCAACAGTGGAACATCAGGTGCAAAATCCATCTGAAGAGTTTATTCAGGTTCTTTCTTCAGGTTCAGCAGTCAGGAGAGAGAACCCATGTCTGAGACAGATCTCATGCTGTCTCTGGATTTTTTTTTTCTCAACTGTTCCTTATGTAAGCTTCTTTACCCTGTTAAAGCAACTCATACAAATGAATGACCCATAAACTAGCTGGACATGCTTGGGCATGCCTAAACCTCAGATGCACACACTTTTGAGTAAGTAAGGGCCCAAAGCACTATAATGTCCATAGGAGGAGGTGGACATCATCATGGGTTAAAGTGCTGCCTGAAATCCAATGGAAGAGGTAGAAGAATTGGTGACATGAAGAAGGTGGACACACAGGTGGAAGGGACAGAATAGGCAAAGGGAGAGGTAGGAATGAGCTTGTTAAGTGAGAAGAGGTGAAGAGACTAGACTTCTTGGAATAGAGAGTTTATTAAGGAGTCAGAGACAATAAATTAGAATGAAATTATGGAGAATCTTAAAAGTCAAGAAGGGAATTTGGCACTTTGTTACTCAGTACTGTAGGCAGGTACTACAGGTTAAGAGACAAAGAAGGGATGTAATTAAAATACTTTAGCAAAGTTTAAAAAATAATAATGCAGAATATCCAGAAGAATATCCAGCTCAGTTGATTATTATAATTATTTTGACATTCTTGAATTTGAGATGATGATCCCTCATCCAAATGTCAGTATGTACTATATAGCTAGAAATACAAGGCTGAACCCATGAAACAAAGAGGCTTGATGTTTTAGTCATGGTTTTGTGATGAGAGTGAATAAATTATGACATTTTACTGCTTTAAAGAAGTTCTATCAACATTTGAAAGAACATAGTTTATGTTAATAATTAAAAATGCATTTCAAAGGTTCTCTGATTTTTTTCACTCATTTGATTAAGAGATTTAATTAGTTGAGAAATATATTTGTCGTCTCTACTCTTGGTTCTGCCATGGGTAGCTTACATGCTGATAAGTGCATAGTAAGTGTTTGTTGCATATAGAATATTGTGAACAATTGATTGCAGATTTTAATAGCATTTTGCCTTTGATAAACATTTTCTATTCTCATTAGAGATTTTCCTGTGTAGACATGGAACAACCAATCATAGAAATTCACATATACATTCATATACATATAAATAAACTTTATTTCATATTATTTTTCCCAAAGGTTAAAACAAACAGCAAATAAAGTTAAAATTATTTTCTTTGAGGATGATTTATGTCTTAATTTTTACCTGCCCTATAATTAGAAATCTTGAACTCTTTAAATGTTTTTTAAGATGAAATTATTGCCCAAGTAAACTTCAAAAATTACATCATTAACCCGGAGACCTTTCTAAGCCTAGAACAGCATTATTAGTACAAATGCCCACACACAACAGACAAATAAATAAAGAGGGAAGTTTAAAATAATTTGAAAATGATTTATTGTTGGCCACCAGAGATTCAAGTATTATTATATTATTTTAGTGCAGTAGGGGAGGACAGTAAGTTGCTGTGGGCTAAAGGTGAATTATGATCTATTGCAAAGGAGGAAGGAAATGTATTGAGGAAAGAAGAAGGAATTGGGAGTAAGTCATGTGATTCAAGTATTGCTTTAGAAAATGCCTTGAAAAAAAACTTTGCCTTGACCCTTCCTGGAAAAGGCCAGAGTAAACTGGGAGACAGACTACCTTCTTGAATCTTTGATAGTAGAAGAGAAGCATACTGGCATGGGAGGACCAGGTGGATGCTGTGGATTCTAAAGCAAACCAAGGTACCTAGAGACACAAGTTACCCTCCAAGTTTGCATAGCAATCCTATGTTGAATACATCCAATTTTAGAGTTTGAAAGGATCATTTAATATGCCATGTTTTAGCACAACCAATCTGAGGTAACTGAATTTGCACTCTACTAACACTATTTGTAAAGTGAGTTGAAGTCTTCAGATTAGAAATTCATTATAGACTTCTAATAGCTTTTTCCTTTTACTTGGAATAAGAAAGAAGTGGTAAAATTATATACTCAAAACAGAGTGATGTAGAGAAGGAAAAGACAAATATTGAGGGTCTGTTTTGTGACAAGGTCCAAACTATATGTTTCATAAATATTACTTTGTTTAATCCTTCTAAAACCCTATGGGGGAAGGCCTTGCTACTTATACATTGTAAGTCAGGGAAATAAAGCCCTCTCTTGAATTTATTACCCAAAGGAACATGGTTAGAATATGGCAATACTACGATTCAACTGTAAGTCTAGTCTGACTCCAATTCCTAGCTCTTTTTGTTTTTGTATTTTTCTTAGCATTCCCCTGTTAGTCCCAGATTAGTTTTATTGTTACCATATGACAGGTAAAAAAAAAAAAAAACTGAGAAAAGTGAAGGCATTGGTGCTTATTGAGTCTGAAACTTGCTGTCCCAAGTTCTTTGTTCACAAGGTTCTTTGGCTGAGTAATGCCACATTTGTATTAACTATTCAAGTGTCTAAAGGCAAATGTTCCTCCCACTGCTTTAGGTTCACTACCAGAAATAATTGTCACCCATCTTCGAGCAGCTGCCCATGCCCATGACACAGTGTTGGCTCTGGAAGATGCTGTAGACTGGCTCTCTGGGGATGAAGTTGTCATCATCAGTGGAATGGGGGTCAAAGGGGACAAACCCATGGAAGAGACTGTCCTTGTGGACACTGTGCACAATGCAGACCTTCATCTGAGATCACCCTTGAGGTACTGAGTGACAGCTGGGTTACCTTAGGTGGAAGCAGATGAGGTTTTAATTGTGTTGGTGTCTGGACTTTTTTTGGTCTTTTGATGATCTAATGTTACTTAAATAATGCTAGATATTTTGACAAGAAAATTACAAAGCATGCACTGTTTGGCAAGTTGCTGTTAAGAAGATTTATACTTCTTAAGCAAATTTCTCCTGTAAGACTCTAGAACTTCCATATTATAGTAGATGGTCAATGCAATTCTCAGTATAGTTCCTCATTTTCACATACTTGTGAACATAGGTCACTCCTTTGTATTTGAGTTTCTAAATAAATAGACCTCCACATAGAATATTATGCAAATCTAGTGGCTTACTATTCCTTAATAAGATTCAGAGTCGTGTCTACAGATGTTTCTTTTCTTTTTTTTAGATATTCTTACAACTTCACAGAGAATTGGGTGGCTGGACAGCACCATATTTTAAAGGCCACAGTGGCTCTACTCAGCAGAAGAATTACCATACGAGGAAATCTCACTAACGAGAGGATAAAGTTCCTTGCTTCATGCCAGGAGGCTAACGCTTCAGAAGGTAGAGAAGTATTTGTTGGGAAGTTGAAAGAGGGAAAAGGAATGTTCTTACTGTCAAATGATATGTGGCATTGCTGACTTCTTTCAAAATCAAATAAACCCTTAACCTTTGCATGTCCACAATATTCTGTCATTTTTAGAACCCTCTTAATAAATTGTCATTTCATCTCCTGCCCTCAGCAATTATATGAAAGAAATAGGCAGCAGTATCCACTTGAGAGATTAGTTATTCCTTTTGGAAATAAAATTTTGTTAAATAATTAAATCTAGAGAATTGAATTAAATTTTCAGGTAATGTTAACTCTGATTCCAAGCCCCTTCTAATAGTCTCAGGAAAACTGTTTAATGCCAGAGTCGTGAATGCAGGCAGCACATTCTGATTAGACTTGTTGGCCTCTTCCCTCTCCTCCACCTCCACTTTCAGAGTTTGTTTTCTGGGTGAACTACCACAGACTTTAAGTAAGTGGTTAAAAAAGTCAATTTATCTTCCAGAAGAATACCAGGCACTGAATCACAGTGATGTGCCTATTAAACATCTATTTCAGGGATGGTTAGTTTAGTAGGTTATGTTTGGGTTTCTCAGGCTGTAGATTATGAGGCTTTCACATTATGTGAAGACATCATTTGTCAACTTTGTTCCAGGATGGTGTGGGTGTCAAGGATGACTCCCAGGCATGAGCTCTGGATGGATGATGAGGCTGTTTATTGAGATGGGAAGAGGAACAGATTTTGGGTTGGGAGGGTGGCAATCATGAGTTTAATTTTGTACATTTTAAGACTGAGATGCCAGACCAGCAACTGAGTTGAGATGTCTGGTAGCATCTGGAGCTGGAAGAAATCTTGGATGCAGTTAAAGATTTGAGTCACATCTACATATAGCCACATGTGGTATGTTAGGATGTGGTTGGGAGAGAGGGGACTTGACCCCACCCCCCACTGCCTCAGTCTTCTAGTTCACAAATGTGTCATTCTGAAAAATGTTTGGATGCAGTGGATTAGAATCCAGTAACTGCCAACTTTAACAGTTCTGCTGAGTATGAGATCTGAGTTCTATCCAAACACTTTGGGATTTCTCATACAGGTTTTCTTAGATCATAGTTTACAAAACTGAATTCGCTATTGCTGCAAGTAAGACTATGCATCTGGGGTTAAGCCATGGTAAATCTATTAGATTCTAATGGGGAAAAAATCCCTGATTTCAGCATAACTCTTAAACTTTACTATAAAATTCTCAAAATAAACAGAATTCACAGCTTCACTGAAAACATGTCACTTACCTCTTCTTTGTGAGAGGCTGTGAAGATAGCTAAATACAATAATACAAGGTCTGACCACATAAAAATTGTATGGGTCACTGACATAATCAAAATTGTGATATATCATAAACATATAAAACACTTCTTTGTTAACCTCTTATATATTCATCCTCTGCTGCTAGCAAGTGACTGAACTTTATAATTTACTAATGACTATTTACTGTGGAATGGTACATCATTTTGTATTAGTGACACATGTTCTTTGGTTTGTTAACATGCATAATAAAGAATCAGCTCAGGAGATGATTTCTTAGTTCATGCCACCACATGCTATGTGTCAACTGAAAGTGTCCTGCAGGCTTCTGGCTAAGATGGAGGCATAGGTAGATACACTGTGCATCCTTGGACAACCAAAAGAAAGACAATAACAAATTTAAAAACAACAACAACAACAACAACAACAACCAGAGCTGCCAGAAAACTGAACTGTATGGAAGTCTGACAACCAAGGAGTTGAAGAAACTTTCATCCAGACTGGAAGGAGGGGCGGAGATAGGCAGCTGGGGCAGAGAGAATGCTTGGCAAGATGAATGGAGGGCCCAGGGGGCAAGGGGGCAGATGGTGATCCCACATTTGAGTGTGGATAAACTGGGAGGAACAGTGAGGGAGTGAGACAGACCACACAACCCAGGGTTCCAGCACAGAAAAAGAAAGCTGCCAAACCTCTGGGGGTTGCTGTGGCAGGAGAAACTCCCAGTTTCACAGGAGAGTTCATTGGAGAGACCCATAGGGTCCTAGAACACATACAAACCCACCCACCTGGGAATCAGTACCAGGAGAACCCAATTTGCTTGTGGGTAGTGGGAGAAGGGACTGAAAGCCAACAGAGAGCCAAGCAAGTGGCATCATTACCTTTTGAACCCCTCCCCCATGTACAACACCAAAACTCAGCAACATAGGTTGTCCTGCCCTGGTGAATACCTAAGGTTCCACTCCTTACAACATACAGGTGCATTGAGACAAAGAAATATAGCCCAAATGAAAGAACATATCAAAACTCCAGAAAAACAACTAAGCAAAGAAGAGATATCCAACATATCTAATGCACAGTTTAAAACACTGGTAATCAGGGTGCTCACAGAAATGATTAAGTATGGTCCCAAGATAAAGGAATAAGTGAAGGCTATGTAAAGTGAAATAAAAAAATATACAGGGAACCAACAATGAAGGGAAGGAAACTGGGACTCAAATCAATGATTTGGAGCAGAAGGAAGAAATAAACAAACAACCAGAAGAGAATGAAGAAATAAGAATTCAAAGAAATGAACCTCTAGGACAACTTTAAATGTTCCAGCATCTGAATCATAGAGGTGCCAGAAGGAGAAGAGAAAGAGCAAGAAATTGAAGACTTATTTGATAAAATAATGAGGGAGAACACCCCCAATATGGCAAAATAAATAGACTTTCAGGAAGTCCAGGAAACTCAGAGTCCAAAGAAATTGGACCCTAGGAAGCACACATCAAGGCACATCATAATTAAGTACCTAAGATTAAAGATAAGGAGAGAATCTTAAAAGCAGCAAGACAAAAGGAGAAAGCTACCTACAAAGGAGTTCCCATAAGACTATCAGCTGATTTCTCAAAAGAAATCTTTCAGGCAAGAAGGGGCTGGGAAAAAGTATTCAAAGTCCTGAAAAGCAAGGATCTACATCCAAGATTACTCTATCTAGCAAAGCTATCATTTAGAATGGAAGAGCAGATAAAGTGCTTCCCAGATAAGATCAAGTTAAAGAGTTCATCATCATCAAGCCCTTATTATATGGGAAATCTTAAAATGATTTATCTAAGAAAAGGAAGAAGATCAAAACTATGAACAGTAAAATGACAGCAAACTCACAACTATCAACAACCAAACCTAAAAAAAACAACAAAAACCAAAAACAAACTAAGCAAACAACTAGAACAGGAACAGAATCACAGAAATGGAGATCACATGGAGGTTTATCAGCAGGGAAGAATGGGGGAAAGGGGATAGGGAATAAGAAGCATAATTTGTAGGTACAAAGTAGACAGGGGGAGGTTAAGAATAGTGTAGGAAATGGAGAAGCCAAAGAACTTCTATGTATGACCCATGGACATGAACTAAGTGTGTGTTTGTGTGTGGGGGGGGGGGGCTGCTGGTGGGTGGGGTTGCAGGGTTGAGGGGAGTAAAGGGGAGAAAAAAATGGGATGACTGTAATAGCGTAATCAATAAAATAAAAAGAAAAACAGAAAGCATCCTGGGGTCCTGAGATGACAACACTTTGTAGTGTGTACTATGTCAGTTCAGTCTACTGTCCTGTCTGGGAAGGAGGCAGCAGTGTGGGGGCTGCTCCGTTACATCTGTGGAGCCCTTTGCCATTTCTTCAGTGGCATTATTGTTGTCACCAAACTACAAAGCAGCAAAGTAAAGGGGAAGCCCACTGGACAGTTTAAGACTAAAAAGAGCCACAATTACACTCAGCACTTACATCTCATTCCCTACAATTACCAACCACGAGAAGGTCATTTTATTGCACACTCCCCCAGGGGATCTTTTGGATTGAAATAAGCATCTATTTAGGTTGGGTTTGTGGGTTATAGTTAGCCTCTTTGTGACAGTAATTAAGGTGATTGATTGTGGGGGTTGGGGGGTACTTCTGAAAATAATAGAGTGAAGACAATATCATGTCCTAGTCATTGGATGTTTTAATTAATAATCCAAACAAGGAAATCAAAGTAAAAGGAAAGTAAGATAATTAAATAAAATACACAATAATGCTTTGTCTTTTGTGCTGTTAGTGCCTTTCAAACTAGAAGATTGGCCCAGAAGCATGTTATATATGGGTCAGGGCCCCTGACTTCAATCTGTGTTTCAGGTGATTTGCAGCACTGTTTGTATTCCAAGAGTGAGAAGATGCTGGGATCCAGGGATCTGGGGGCCAGAGTCATCATTCAGTCCTTCCCTAAGGAGCCCAGCTGGGTGCAGTTGAAGGGAGTGCAGTTCCGGGACTTGGGTCAAGCCTTCCATAAGCATCTGAGCTCGCTGACGCTGGTGGGAGCTATGAGAGGTAAGAGGTCCAGGCCTGTGAGCTTCTCACTTTTCTTTCTTCTCCACATTCGAGGCGTCACATGCCAAGGGTCATGATAGGTGATGTGTGGGGTGCGGAGGGGTTGGAGATGGATAATTGTTCTCTAGATCTATGCTTCTCAGACTTCAGTGTGCTTAAAAAAATCTCTTGGGGATCTTATTAAAATTCAGAGTTATGGACTCTACCAAGACAATTCTGGTCTAAAGTGGGCCTAGGGATCTGAATTTTTGATGAGCAAGTCTTATGATTCTGGAACAAGTGGTCCAAGTAATATACTTTGAGAAAATCACTGTATGTACAACAGATGCGAAGTGAGCCACACAGTCCATGTTGTAATCCCGTGACTACCGGCAAATTGACATTGAATGGCACAAACAACCAATGCTGTGGCAGTCCAGCACAGCGAAGGGCAATTTTCTATGAAGTTGTTCTGACTCAGAGGAATCCTCTGCCTAGAAAAATGGGAAGAATGGACTGAGAACCAGCCACTTTTCCTGGGAATGCAGAGCAGGCAGAGTGTGCTGATCTTGGCCAGAGCTGAGGAGATAGAAAAGGAGAGGAAACCAAAGCTGAAGGGTTGGTCATAGGAGAACTCAATGCTAGAAGCCAACACACAGAGAGTCAGAATTAGGGTCCAGATACTAAATAAGAGGATAGAATGTCATTTCTGAGTTATCCTCCCCATCTCTCAGCACCTCCAATATTCACACATTTGCACTTTGCCTTCCTTGGAAAGGAAGGCACTCTGGGGATGGTGCCTGACAAGGGACATCAGGACGTACTTAGCGGTTCAGGTGGGCCTAGAGAAATGCTAAAATTTCAACAGACAATGGTGGAGTAATTTTTGAGGTCACGAAGGCAGAATCCTGGCTAGCCAAATGCAGCATTTTTTTCTCATTTCAAATCAACTGTATGCCAAGAATGTCTATTTATTCTAATGTTCCATTATCTCTCCCACCTTATTCATTCATTTTTCACATTCACTTAGGGATATGGCTCCTAACGTAGCTTTCTCTAGTGCATGAGAATGAGGAGTATCTTTGTGTCCGTCTCTCTTTTGTTGTTTGTTTGTTGGTTTTGGCCTCCTGGTGCTTATAATGACACAGCCTATTTGATGTGGGGCCAGCTCCAGTAAAACGAGGATAGCAGTCACCTATGAGGTACCAATTGAACATAATTAAAGCCCTCCCTTGCTCAAAAATTTACTTAATCTACCTTCTCTAACTTCTGCTTCAGAGTAGCTGCCACATGAATCCATTTCTATGTATTAGGTTTTATTTGAAAATGGGTTCAGTGATTTAAAAAAAGTTTGAAAACCACTAAGTTAATACATTATCCCCTGTAGGTCTCTGTTAAAATGCAAATGTGTTTCCTAGGAGGGGAACAACATATTAACCCAGAAGTTATGAACTTCTGGCATGCTCACCAAAGGCCTTTTATTGTTTCATGCCTTCAAGGACCTCATGACCTAGTAGCCAATTGCTCCCAACCACTAGAGTTAGAAGGTGCTGGAATCTTTGATGCTCCCCACTTTTAAATATTTGCCAATCCCTGAATTTAACCCATAATAGCTCTATAAACACATTAGTACTTACTGGTTGTTGCAATGTAGTGGTACTGTGGTGAATTGGAGTCAGGAGAAGTCTGCAGCAGGCACAGTTTCCTATGTAAGGGCATACGAATGGGTTAACTTACTGGTGAGCAATGTGAGAGCATTGGGTAGCAGGGGAGCTGAGCTCAAAGGGAATGGGGAGGTCATCCACCTAGGGAGACATGTCAGTTGAGAATTTTGTGGAGAGTCCCAATTTAAAAGTCAAATGATTCCATAAACCAAAGTAATTTTTCCAATACTCAAAACATTTGATATCAATAAAATATCCCTCACTACCTGGAAATGAGACAAAACTTCTTTTCCGGGGTTTATAATTTAATTATCCAAAAAAAGAGATACTTTTTTATTATTTTGATGTGACTTTCCTCCATTAGACTGAAGATACACAAGTATAGAATTTACTTAATTTAATCCTCTGTGTATCTCCAGCACAATACATGATTCCTGATATACATAATATTTATTCATTGTTGAACCCATCCACATAAGTTGAGTTGGAGGTTATGAAATATGCCCATGGAGCTAGTGTGATGATTTTTCTAAATGCCAGTTCTCTTACCATAGGGTGGGGTGCTTCTCCTTCAGCTTCATAAACCCACCACATGCAAATGGGAGAGTCGTGAGCCTCAGGTCAGCCTCCAGCTTTGCTGATGTGGAATTATAATCTTGTACACTGGAAAATTATACAATGTTATTCACCAATGCTGCCCATATAAACTTAATTCTTTTTGAAAACAATTCTCTGGTAATCTTAGGTCAAAAAGTTAATATTATTATTATTATTATATTAAAAAGTTAATATTATCCAGCTCAAGAAATAATGACTACATCTCCTCATGCCAGATGCAGTTTTCAAAGATCAGGGTTGGTCCGTAAACAGTGCTCTTTCACGTCGCCCGTAACCTCTCTCTAGCTGCTGTCTACCACACTGTGATGAGACTTAACAGACAGCTGACAGCTAACTGGGAGTCTTGACAGCCATGCAGTGTTTTGTGGTTTGGCCATACTATCTCTGTCTCAGATGTTTTTCTTCAACATTTGACCCTTGGAGTCTACCCTGCTTGTCTTTGATACCATTGAGGTGAGGTGGCCTGAGTTGCTCATTTTTTAAACTTGATTTCTGATTCCAAATCCTCATTTTCTGAGTTTTATCACTGTATGGGAGAATGTTCTTAGTTATATGGTAGCTTGCTTTGGAAATGATCTCCAAAGAGATCAAGATTTGAGGAGCCCTCAAGATGCCCTTCTAATTCTTACCTTACTCTTTCCTGTGCAGATTCGTACATGCAGGGCTGCACAGTGAGGAGCTCCTTCAGTAGAGGCCTCAGCACATCCAGGACCGCAGGCCTGAAGGTGGACAGTAATGTGTTCTACAGTATTTTAGGCCATGCACTGCTAGTGGGTAAGTAAAACCAGCCTGTTTAATTTGGGTATTCTTGAGTAAGACACACAGTTTTTCAAAAAGAATTATCCCAAAATTTGAATTTCCAATTTATAAAAACTTTAGCTTTTGCTCATTAGAAATAAGCTATAGTTAAAAGTTCTATATTTAAATGTAGTTATCAGTGATCGGATAACTAAGCTGTACCAGTAGAAAAGTGATCATTTAAAGCTGACATTTTAGTTCAGGTTAATGAATATACAATGGGTAATTTTAAAATTTACTGTCAGCAATTTTCACAGTGATTCAAAGTCCCATAAGTGGGTCTTTGAACCATGTCATGGGATGTCAAATGTGGATGCTGGACAAGGAGTTAAAAATCTTGAATTCTGGTTTTAGCTGCTCCTGTGGTTTGCTGAAGAAGCTTGTGTTTCAGAATCTTGTGATTGGTCACTTGTATCCACTCGTTTTTTTTCCTCAAGTTCATTCCCATTGCAGAACCCAGAATTATCCTTAAAAATCTCAAATGGCGTTATATAACATCTCTTCTTAAAACCCTTTAAGAGTTTCTTAATCTTTAGAATATAATCCAAAATCTTTAACTTAGCTTAAAAGACTCCCTCCCTGCTTTTGCCTCCATTAACCTTTGTAAATTCGTCTTGCTCTTTTTTTTTCTCTCTCCACTCTAGCTACACTGACCTCCTTTATTTAAATTCTTTTAAAAGAATATACTTTCTGCTGCCTCAGGGCCTTTGCACAGGCTTTGCCCCCTGTAAGATTGTGTTTAAGCTCTTTTAGCACCACTCATTATATATTGATTAAAGATTATATATCCTGTTTCAGGTAATCAGATTAATGTCTCTTTGTACCATTAGATGTCACATAAATTTTGTTTCCTTAGCATTTAGCACATTAACTAGTACATTGTACGTGTGTATTTGTTGAAAGCAATGAATTAATTAATGAACAAAGGATCTTTGGTTGTATCAGAATAAAAAAGCAAATCAGAGGTTTTCACTGAAAGTAAGACTGTAACTGTATTTGTTAAATAGTGTTTTATATTTAAATTAATTCTGTGATATCTTTAGTGGGAAAATGTACAGGTTTCATTTAAGAATAATCTGTTAAAGATAAAAACTCTAAAAGGTCTAATCCTGAGAGGGAAACTGTTTAGTGGGAAAATATGGATCATATAAACTTGCTTTAAAACATATCCCAGCTCTACTAGGCAAAGAGCTTTGGTCAAAAAAAAAAATGACCAGATGCAGGAAAATCTTTTGACTGAAAGAGGACAGCTACAGGCCAGTCAAACCAACAGATGGAGGATTCATTTTCTTTATTCTTAGTTTTATCCATGTAAAGGAAAAGTTTGCTGAACCCCCCTGGGGCAGAAATTCAGGAAGGAACCCTAACAACATTATCTTAGGAGAAAACAATTACTGCATATGGAATAGACATTACCTAGGCAGGGAAAAAACCTGCAGGAGGAATTTAGCCTTTAGGGCTTGGATGTTGTGAACTGCCTACTCTTGACATCTATTGTAGTGTAGGGGAAGGAACTAGAATATTTGTTTATTAGTTCCTTATAGATAAAGCACTCAATTCATGCAAAATAAGTTTGTAAATCCAGGTTCATGGAATGACATGGGAAGCCCAGATACCTAAGACCTAGAAAAGAGGGCGTCTGTGAGTCTGTGCATCTGTGGGGCTGCTCTCTATTGACGCCATCTAGGTGGCTAATCTCTTTCTCTCTGTAGCGTGGCCTATGCTTTTATTTTCTTCTACTCCAGATCTTTATGGTTTGGGTGTGAGGGTCCCAGGTACTCTCCAGCCTGTCCCTCCAGGACATTTCAGGTCTTCCAGGGGAAGGCCTGTGGACAGCTGGTGGCCCATTTGAATACTAGAGATGGGTCTGGAGCTAACATGGGGTGTGTGGCATTCAACTGTGGAGACAGTCACTTAGACTCTTGCTAAGAAGTAAAATAGTAGATCTATTTCTTTGGTCTTTAAACTTAAACTTTTGATCCATGATACTCTAGAACTAAAAAGTCCATATAATCAGCATCTCTTTGCTTCATAGATAAAAAACACAAAAACAAAATCAAGATCAGCCACACCCCAAAGAAGAAATGGTATTGCATGTCTCCTGTTTTCCTGGGTCACCTGAAGTGTGCTGAAGTAACATGATCTTTTGTTCTCAGGTACCTACATGCAAACAAGATATATCCCTAGGGAGGCTACTCCTGGAAGAAAAAATGGTAAATGTGTAAATTGGTTTTAAATATATTACAATCCATTTACATTGTCATATAATTTATAGACAGGCCCAATGGAAGAACGTTAGAGATCTTAAATTTGTTGAATATAATAAATGTTCTGTAGACATATACATATATGTGCATTATGTGAATTATAATGGATGTTAGTAGAAATAAGCATGTTGGATTGCATAAATTTTTTAAAGATTTTGTTTATTTATTTTTAGAGAGAGAAGGGAGGGAGAGAGAGAGAGAGAGTGAGAGAGAGAGAGAGAGAGAGAGAGAGAGAGAGAGAGAGAGAGAAACATCAATGTGCGGTTGCTGGGGGCCATGGCCTGCAGTCCAGGTGTGTGCCCTGACCGGGAATTGAACCTGTGACACTTTGGTTCGCAACACGTGCTCAATCCACTGAGCTACACCAGCCAGGGTGGATTGCATAAATTTTAATTCTGTTTGTGAATTTCTTGGCTTTCATTTCTTTTCTTAAATTAGGTGGGTCAGAACGAGGAAATGTAGTAAGGAACAATGTGATCATCGGTGTTTCTGGCGCCGAGGGCCTCTCCAGTCCTGAAGTGCTGACACCGTCTGGAGTCTACGTCCACGACCCCTCCAGTGTCATAGAGGCAAGTCTTCACCAGGAAGGTCAGACCCAAGAGGACGCACAGTTCACTCCAGAAGTTATTTGGAGTGGCAGCATCAGTGGTGTGGTGTAAAATGTTTACTTGCTTCACACTGGTGTTGAGAAATTATGATTTTGTGTTCAAAAAGTGCTTTAGGATAAATGTAATCATTTTTCAGAGATCTTGTGAATGCTCTTTGAAGCGATATCCATATGGAGCAACCATAGTAGATGTTGATTCTTTTCTGCTCACTTAAAGTAACACAAACTAAAATATTTTCCTGAACTATCCACTGTGGTGCCAATTTTTGTCTCAATTCCAATATTAATTACCTATTAAATCTTTAATATCTTACTGTATTAATGTGGTCATATTGTTACCCTTCAAGAATATTCAAAACTGATGGTCAGTAAAGTTAGGGGGTATATGAGTTATGTCAGATTCAAAGATGAATGAAGTATACTCTAATGGCCTTGATATTTTATTATTATTTAGTACACCTTAACATTACTTTTCCTTGGTAAATTTCTCTCTAAAGACTTTAAGAAATTAATTTTTCTGGTACAGTTTAAGCATAGGTCTATGAATGAGGAATCACAGCAGAGTAGTGGGAAGGCCATTCAGTCTCCCCTTTTCCAATGATTTTACCGCATGGACGTCCCCCTCTGTGGGACACTCCTCTGAGCATCTACTGTGCCATCATAGTTATACCAGGTTTCTGTGGACCTGAGGGAATGAACATCTCTGTCTCTCTCTGATCATCTGTTTCTAATTACTTCTAGCTGAATCACCTCTAACGAAAGTCATGGTTATCTCCACAACCCTCCTCCAGACTCTTAATTACATTTTCTCCAAGTGCTTACACACCATTCTGGGTGCCTAATGGGCGCAGCCAACATGCCAGTGAGAAAGGAGGCAGGACTGACTGCATGGGTCTAAGGAAACCAAACTAGACACAGAACAATGAGAGCGGCATTTGACTTGGTGGTAACTATAGTGCTGGTTATGCAGCTATGCCAGCGAGCTTTGGTACCTAAAGAACTACATTTCTGGATTCTGCTTTTGGTAACAGAACCTTGACTACATTGAAACATCTAGTAGTAAATAGACCCTCAGGATTGCCCAGCTCACCTTTCTGCATGTGGCTAGAATGTACTCAAATCCCGTATTGAATGTCCAGGGTGCTGTCCGTTTGATTTTGCTTCATCGACTAGCGTGTGGTTTCCTGGACAGCTGTCTTGGCCACTAGTCAGCCACAAGAATGACCAAGCAGGCTATAGGTCTACAGGTGCAGAGGAGCAGAGGGCCAACTCAAAAGCTGATAGGTCACCTGGTCCTGTGCTACCGGACCTGTGAAACAGTGCCCGTTTGGCATTTGGAAAACTGAATTCGAAACAAGCTGTTTGATCCCCATTAAATGACTTCCATTTTTATTTCTTTACTTTCTTCCTCTTATGTTCACTTCACAAAATTTTGGGAAAAGGTATAATGCACATGTTTTGAGAAGGAAGTTTTTCATTTAAGCTAGTAGTGTAGTTTCATTAATTATAGTCATTAGGTATACTGCTGACATTTTTTTCAATGACCTTAAAATTCTCTAGTTCTCTTTCTATTAGTTATTGGCTTTTAGACCTCAACACAAAGTCTGAAACAGTCATTTCTCAATACAAAATCATTGAATATAATGAATGAATGAATGAATGAATGAAGGTATAATTACCTAACCAAAGAATGAGGGGGGAAGAAAGAGAAAAGCAAAGAATAGATTCCAAGAACCCACCATCATTTTGATGTCTGAAAAATAAGATGTTTAATCTGTGGCAGCATTTAAATCCTGTGGGACTCACCTCTCAGTGTTAAATCTTGTGGAATTTGGCTCAAATTATCAGCTGTGCCACTGGCATTCTGCTGTGCTGCTTCATCTGTATCCTATTGTCTGGGATGTGCTGTTTCCAAGGACATAGCTGATACTGGCCATACATGGCAAAACCTAAAAATTACGAACTTCTGTTGACCCTTAGGGCTGAAGGTCATTGCAGCCACTGAGCAAACAGTAAGTTAGTGTTTGTAAGTGTGTCCTGTGTGGAAAATACAGAGAGTACTTTGAAAATGTATTTTAGAAATGCACTTTTATTCCAAAGGTATAATAAGGAGGTGACAATAACAATGATATGTGGGGGGTGCGTGTGTGTGCATGTGTGTGTAATATGTGAAATAGAAGGAGATATGGTAGAAAAATACTATTTTTTTCTAAGGTTGTTCTGATATTCAATAGAAAGGCACTCCTTGTTCTGAGGAACTATTTTGTAGGTGGTGACTCATATGTCCGTCTCTGCGAGGGGTTTAGAATCAAACTTGAGGGAATGTGGTCAAGTCTTGAATGTGCTCAGTTTGTTTTACCCCCATTTCCTGCCTTACTTTTCAGTTTTTTTACAGTCTGGCAAAATATTTTTTAAAAACCACTGTATTACTGTCGTTAATTAGGATTTTCTTTTTTAAGCTTCCAGTTCTGAGATAATTTTAGATTCAGAAAACGGTGCGAAAATATAACACAGCATTCCTGTGTGACCTTCCCCCATTTTTCCCCACTGATAACGTAACCATAGCCATCACCACAGAGGAATAGCAAAATCAAGAAATTGACAACAGGGCAATGCTTTAATTAAATTAATGCACTTATTTAGATTTGAGGAAGATGACATAAACCTAGTGCCTGGGCAACCAACCCTGAAAGCCTAAACTGTCTCTCCCACATACATGAGTCTGATCTTGAACTCTCTGGCCTGGCAGGCAGGCAGTGATGAAACAGAGTTGATCCTTAAGTCTCTGCAATGGTTTGTGTTGGATATTACTCCTGAGTTTCCCTGACCCAGAGTTTAGGACCAAATACATAGGTACAGTGCATGGAATTTTCCTTGACTTCCAGTCAGTCATCTTTACAGCTAACTCACTTTCAACCCTGTGTGGTAAAGGGGATTTCAAGTGTGATATTCCTTTTTATTTTTTGTAGCCACAACCGATCTGCCTGCTTCCCTGCCTAGGATTCAGTGGAACTAAATCCAGGGAGAAGCAAAACCTGAGCTTTGTGCTTTCTTGCTAGTGAGGACTCAAGCGTGATATTCCCGAGTCTCCAGGGGACATGTGGTATTCCTCTATATAAACCTTAGAAAGGCCTGTATTGTGCTTTCCAAAAACAGTTTGGTGTTGGCTCTACATGCATCACCTGTAGCTCTTAGACCACCTTGTTTCCAGCTGTCTTCCCCTGGCAACCCCGGCATCTGCATCTCTGACTCCTTGGGATTCCTTGTTATCTTCACAAAAGCTCCATCTCTGCAGTGCACATAACCTGTATCAGCCTCAGACTGCAGAGTCTTCGCTCTCAAACAGTGAGGGCCCATTCCCTTCTAGAGCTCTGGAGTGCCCCGTGTTTATGGTGGTATTGGAAATTTCCTATGGCCAGACTCTTGTTTAGGATAGCCCATGGGAAAATCCTGAAGATGAATGCTTTGGAAACACCCATTTAATTTGAGGTGAATTTGTTCTGGCTTGTGAATCAATTTTGTAAGGAATTCTGTGTTTAAAGGCCCAATTTCAATTCTCTCACTCTCCCCACTCAATAGTTCATGTATATTTAAGAGCTGCCTGAAGGGTTAACTCACTTTTTTTCCTAGTAACTATAGATGCACACCTTAAGGAGCTGGCTGACTTGAGCAGTTAATTTCTCTCTGGAATTTCTCTTGCTTGAATGTCCATAATACACTGACTTCTGCAAAAAATTGATTTCCACACAAAATTCCCTGCTTGCCTTAAACCCTTCCCCACAAGCCGCTGGCTGCCTGAATAAATATGTGGATTTTCCTCATGAATCATTTGTAGCATACGCAATTGCAATGGAGAGTGAAAGGGCTGAGAAGTAATGTGATCCGACTGTTCAAGTGCTTCTTTTACAAGAAAACTGCTCTTTATCGGCTAACGAAGACCAAAGTTGGAATATCATGCTCATCTATAAATGCATTTGAAGAGTACTTATATATACCCAGATGCTTCATAAATACTAACAACACTAGGGCAGATGATTCAACAAATCTATTCATTTGCTTAAAATATGTGCTCTTTGAGCACCTGTCTGCCAAAGGTGATGAATAAGGATGTAGCCCTTGTAATATATTCTTTGAATGTTTGAATCTTGCCCATTCTGGTTAAGTCTTAGTAATGTACTAACATTTCATTGGGAATGAAATAGAGGTGTATGTAGTGCACCCTCATTACAAAAAATGTGGTGTTCAAGAGGCCCCCATTTCTTAACCCTCAGGTCTTACATACCCGTGGCCTTTCCCATGACTCACAGGTGTGGCAGAAACACACGGGCTACATGGAAGGTGGAGCTTCATATCTAGTTCCATGAGGAAGTTTTCAGTTGTGTAATGTCTTTAGAAAATTCCAAATGCTCCTGGGGGGCAAAATCATCCCTGATTGACAGCCACCACTCTAGACTATGCCACCTCAGGATATTGAAGTCTTAACAATGGCCCTGGTTCCTTGAAGTCGTGTTAGTAATTCAATTTCACATTTGGTGTTATCCAAAATTCACTTTTGCTGAGTACAATGTGGTAGGTAAAACATATGCTTAGAATTTTAAATGGCCTCAGGAAATTGGGTAAATCTTCAGAATTCAGATGAAAATGGGCCCCTTGTTCACAAAGGAAGAAAATAGTTCTACAACTAGGTGAAAAGTGGGGAGTGACTGGCTAATTGCAAATACCTAGGGCTCCACAGTGAATTACCATATTTTGCCATATGTAATTCTCTCTTGTGCATAGTGTGCACCCATGTTTTTGGCCCGAACTTTCAGAAAAAAAATATTTTGTTTTAATTTGTTAATTCATTTTTTGTGGGTTTATATTTAGATACTTTTTGTATTATAAAGGAATTTTAGCATTTATTTTTGAATATATTATGGTACAAGAAATTTTATGTAACAAATAATTACAAAACACAAGAAT